GCCACAGAGAAGGCCCTCCCCCGAGGAGTTGCCAGCCGACATTGGCCGGCAGATGGAATCCGGAGGAGGCCCAGTCTGTGCGATCGAGGTAATTGGTCCCTCAGGTACCCAGGTCCAATGCCATGTAGGGCTTTATAAGTAACAACCAGCACCTTGAAGCGTGTCCGGAGACCGATGGGCAGCCAGTGCAGCTCGCGGAGGATAGGTGTAACGTGGGTGTACCTGGGTGCACCCACAATCGCTCGAGCGGCTGCATTCTGGACTAGCTGAAGTCTTTGAACGCTCTTCAAGGGCAGCCCCATGTAAAGCGCATTACAGACCTGAATAGGCAGCCAGGCTCAAGGGTTGAGTTGCCGCTGCCGACTCAGGGGGCAAATGATGACTGGGGGGCCTATTTTGTTCCATACAGAGAACGAAAGCGGCGGGGGGGGGCCTTATCCAACTGTGTGCAGCAATAGCCGAAAAAGCTAAATACAGTCCTGGGTTGTATAAACAGAGGCATAGAATCAAGATCACGCGAAGCATAATTAATTCCGCTTTATAAAACCCTGGAATCCTGCATCCAGTTTCAGTCACCAGACTACAAAAAAGAGGTTGAGACTTTGGAAGAAGTTCAGAGAAGAGCAACCAAGAGGATCAAAGGCCTGGGGACTAAAGCATAGGAAGATCAGCTACAGGGTTTGGGTCTGGCTGGTCTAAGAAAAGAAGAATTAAGGAAGACATGATAGCAGCCTTCCAGGACTTGAGGGGCCGCCCCAAAGAAGAGGACGAAGGGGTCAAGCTGTTCTCCAAAGCAGCAGAAGGCAAGACAAGAAATAATGGATGGAAACTAATCCAAGAGAGAAGCAACCTGGAATTAAGGAGAAACTTCCTGAGGACAATTAACCGGTGGAACAGAAGTTGCCCTCAGAAATCGTGGGTGCTTAAAAACTGGAAGTCTTTAAGAAGAGACTGGGCAGCCGTTTGTCTGAAGTCCCCTGTCATAGATCTTCATCTGCCCTGAGAGTGGAGCTTCTGAATAGGTTCTGGGCCTTTGAAGAATGAAAATCAAGAAGAACTAAGCTTGGTCAGTCATGCCCAACCACCCGTTTCTTGCCAGAACGCCAGCAAAAGACGATGGACGGCCCTGTGTTTGAATCTCTGCAGGCCGTTTTCATTCCATGCTGCCACCCCCTTCTAGTTTGGCCAGCGTCCTTCTTCGCCTGCAGAGGACCAGCAGGGCTTTTGGGGTGCATGGGAGAAGACTGAAGATGAGGGGGAAATGGGAGCCAGAGGCTTCGAGGCAGGGATCCACCTCTACCTACGCCCAAATATTTGCTGAAGTCCTCTCAGGTTGACCCTGTTTGTTTTCGGCTCCCCTCCCCTGATCTTCCCTTGGAAACAAAACAAGAAATGCTGAATAAATTCTGGACACTTTTGCTTTGTTAATTACTAACTCAAACTATTTTTACAACTGATTTTCTGAGCAATGATGGGCCTTTGATAAGACCTGGGAGGAGGAGCGCTTGGTTTCTAGTCTTTACTTAAGGCTGTTAATTTTAAGGTTTCCCATTTATGCTTTTATGCCTTTGTCAGCCAACCAGAATCATTTCGGATAATGAGGTGGGTAGCGGATAAAAGTAACAAACGAATCAATAAGAGCTGTACCTGGTGCAGCAGTTCATCTACTAATCCCCAATCAAAACTGGTCACCTTAAAGTGACCCACCGGTCATTCTTCCTCTGAATCCGGCCTCAGGGATCTGCCCAAATCCTGGTGCAGGAAGAGAGATCTGCCGGTGCCTCCAAGGAAGGACCACAGGCCACATCAGGACCAGCTGGAGCTCAGAGCCTGAGAGGAGCAGCAGGGTCCCCTCGTCCTTCTGGGAAATGGCATCCTTCCGCTCTCGCCCGCCTTGCCACCCTCTGCGTCTCTCTCTGGGTCGCCACTTGCCCCCCCAGCACCAGGGCTTTGTTCCAAGGACACACGAAAACAAAGGAGGGGAAACAGCTGCCCATTGTTTGGCCTGGCAAACAGGGCAACACCCAGCAAACAAGCCTGCCTTTATGGAAGAACAATCCAGACAAACGGTCAACACCCTCCTAGTGCTGGGTTGGGGACCTGCAAGACCAAAGACCAAAGTGCAGGGATGCTGAAAGCCCCAGAGAGTTTCCCATAATGCACCAGCTTCAGGCACTTGCAGCTCCCAACCACAGAAGCGATTTTCCTTGAGCCTCAGCATTCGGGCACCTCATGTCAACGAACCTGGCACCTCTCCGTTGCCCGGGCCGACTCGTGTCCATCGTTTGGGTGGGAGTTTAAAAACCTGCCTTTTGGCCCTTCTCCCGCTCTCCCATTCAAAACCCCCTGGGAGGTTTCTCTCTCCTCTGTCTTCCCTTTTGCAACCCAAGCAGGCCCCCGCCCCCCTGGAGCCCCCTCCCAAGCCTCGCCCTCCATTATTTTTGTGCTCCTGGGAGGGGTCTCCTCACGCCAGCTTCTCCCTGCTCCTTGTAACGTGTGGTGCTCAAAATGATGCACAACTCCAAGGTGATTTGAATCCCTGGAATCCAGTGGAAGGTTCCTCTAAAGTGGACCCAACTCATCTCTTGGTGCAGCCAGGACTTCTGGCCTTTCTAAAATCTTCCTGTTCCGGTAGCCAATTGCCAGGAGTTGCAATCGGTGAGTGAGAAAGCGGAGAACATTTGTTTCTCAGATCTCAAGAAAGCTTCTATAATATTCCTGCATCTTTGCATGTATTTTAAGCTTGTTCTTCCACAAGCACAAATACGGACAAATCCCCAACTCCATTTAACATTCACTGAATGGAAAATACTTCTGTGTGATCGTCAAGAGGAGCTGAGAGGCGGAAGAGGCGATTGCGAGGAAGAGGCGTGGTGGGAAGGCAGTGGTCCTCCCAAGCATCTGGGACTCAGCAATGGGTTGCTTCCCTGTGGAGGGAGCTGCCTCCCTCCACCTGACCCTCCTAGTCCACTCCTCTGCCTCCTTGGCCAGATGACAGATAAGTAGGGGACCATCTAATCTGATTGCAGCCAAAATCTCTCTTAATCCAAAGTTTGGTTTCTAGTGGTTGGCCACGAAGATGCTCCTGGGTAACATATGGCTGATCCACACAACAAGGCAGCCCTAGTCGAAATTCAGGGGCAGTTGGAGATGCAACGGTCTATGGGGATATCCTTGGAGGGGTAGAATGAGGGAGCCGCAGCCGGGCAACAATCAGCATCTCAGTCCACAGACGAATGGGTGTGGGGGGCATCTCAGAAGCATCACACACACACACACGCACACATGCACACAAGCACACACACACACACGGTTCCTGGGAAGTAAAAGCAAGTGAGGAAGAGAAGCTTTCAGACTTGCAAGATTCAGTTTCTGTATTTTAACCATCCAGTAGAATTCACAGTTTGGTTCCTTGTCTGTCGAAGGGCTGACAGGGGGCATCAGGAGAAAGAGGGGTGGTGAAATGCTGCCCATCCAACTCAGGCCTCCAAATGCTCCTTCAGGCCAGGCTGAATCTTCTGTGGCTGGACTCCAGCAGGAGATGTAGCAAAATTCCTGGGCCACCTTCCCTGCTCCACGTAGGAAAAAGCCATAGGGAATAGCAAGGGCATATATTGAGTTAGGGTCCCTTGCAAAGGGGGCAAGGGAGGAAGGATGCCACTCCCCGTGCCACCCCCTCTACGTGGGGCCAGGAGAATTGGGCCATTGTTGCAGAGTCCTGGCTGCGTGTGACGATGCACCAAGGCCCAGGACGCTTTGTTCCCTCCAGCACGAACAAACCATTGCTTGTGTGAGAGTCCATCATCTGTTGCTGCGCAGCTGATGAGTTCCTGCTCTGCAAAAGGCAGCCTCATGGTCTCCATAGTGACTGGCACACGATGGATCAGAAACCGCCTCCCTTTCCTGCTCACGTTGGCCCAGGGTTGCCCAGAGGCTTATACCTGGCTTAAAGGTGGCTTATTGCCCTGGACGTTCAGCTCGTGCCAGCCCACTTCTTTAAGGCTCGCTCCCTTCCCACTGGATCTTGCGCAGTGAAAGCCTCGCAGCTTAGCAGCATTGAAAGACGCACGAGGGGGTCCGAAGAAGCCGGCCCTTCCCCATCGTGGGGATTGTGGGACAGTCACACTCTTGGCAACATGTCACAGCCGGCAAAGGCACCAGGCTGGCAGAAAGAAGGCCCTGCCCTCATGCCCACTTCCTGCAAAGGCCCTGGAGGGACTTCCTTGGAGTCTCGTTTTTTTGCAAGGCTGGTCCAGAGAGCCGCCCTGAGTCTCTTGCGAGTGTGCGGTATATACAAACCCAATAAATGATGAGAGCGGCTCTTCCTTTTCACAATACTTTGCTTGGATGTCCCCTTCCCAAGTTCTTAAACAGCGTTTGGCCAATGGAGCCCACTTAATGAGAAGCCGTCGTTAAACGGATACAAGGGTTACCACTCAGTTGAAAGCCTCCCGTTTTTCCTCTTCTGCCTGGACAAACTGGCTTGTCCAGATAGAGTGGAAAGGAAGCCCATCTGGGGAGTCCAGGCTGAGCTGGTCTCCGGCTGCATTGAAAACCCTGAATCTGAGGAGAGAAGAATTTCAACTTTACAGACTTTTTCCAAATAGAATTTAAGGTGCATAATTGTGATCACAGTAAACACACATGGAATTTCCCCCCATACATCCCTACATATCTCTGTGTCCATCACGTGTGCCTTTCTTAGTTCCGTACAACTCTCTGGCCAGGGAGCTTTAGGCTGCTCCAACGAAGGAAGCCTTTTAAATGGTTCCAATCTCAGCGATATTTAAAAAGAGGTTAAACGGGAGGTTAAACGGGAGGGAAAGGAATCCGTGCCAGGTCCGAGAAGCAGAACAAACAGTTTCTTCTGGTGCCTTTGGGACTCTGCAAATACTTCATTTGGAAGCGGTTTTGTCCGCCTTTCCTCCATTGAGAAAAGGAGATCCCTGGACTTTGGAGGCGCCTTCTCTGCAGTTCCCTCCCCCCTTCTGGTGAGGAGGAGGCAGAGCAATCCTCCTGGAAAGTGAAGGGAGTGACTGCACCTCAAAAGTTGGAGAACCCCCGTCTTTCTGCTGGGGTTGTTGGGGTTCATTCTGGTTTCCATCCCTGTTGAAATAGGGCCGGTTTCTTAAAAGACACCTGGATATTTTGTACTTATTGACTGCTTTGACTGAAGAGCTAACACAATGAAGTTGGACCTTCTTACCCTGAGAAACTCTGGCTCAAAACTCTGAGAGGGGCCGGGGAGAGCCGCAAAGATGGCGGTTATGCAAACATGTAACAACCACTTCAAGGCTTCAAGGGTGAACAAAGCCTCCTTTAATTTGCAGGAAGGGCAGAAGGATTAAGCCAACATGGATGTGGTGCAATTATCAATAAAGGGCCCTTGGCATCCCCCGCGAAGGTGGACCCTGGCCTGGACTCCCAAGAATGCAGAGAGATCCCTCGGCCTCCTCTGTCAGATCCCCCCCCCATCGCTACCTGGCATTTCACCTGAGTGGGGGGGGACTTTCTGCCCCCTCCCTTGGCTTCTTCCCTGAAGTCCATCCATTGGGAGCCGCTTAGCCCTGCCGGGCTCTGCCCAGGGCCCAGTGGCTCGAACTCAGGAAAGGTACTGAGCCCTCCGGCACCCGGGCAGAGCATCCCAGGAGCAGAGCCCACCACAAGGAGGGACTGCAAGACCTTGAAACGACCAGATGGGGAACGAAGATAAACAGACCCCAGCGGCAGACTTAATGATTAACTGAGCAATGAGCTTCTTCTACTTGGGTGCTCTCTGCTTTCCAATCTAGGGCAAAAGGCGGCATCTGCTCACTAGGGGAGCAAGGGTCAGTGGTGAGGGGGCTGAGGGGGGGCCAGTGTCCCCAGGGCCCTCTGCCATGTGCAGGGGCCACCCACAGCATCTGACCAGCTCAGCGAAGCGGGGGGGGGGCTGCTGGGGGTGGGAAGGAGCCCCACATGTTGGGGTCAGAGCCAAACCTTGGCTGCCTCCGGCTGCTTTTGCCCCCTCTGAGGACGGGGGGGGGGGGGCTCCTCGGCTGACACGGTTAGCCTGGCACTGCTGGAGATTGGCAGAGCCTCGATGGAGCCTTCCCGCCAGGCAGCCTGGGTGAAAACTGAGGTCGTGGTGTGGGGACCAGGGACCCCACTAATGTCAGAAACTGAGGCCTGGTGGCTGTTCTGTGGAGGGGGGGCAGCGCAGGAAGTTTTTTTTTCTTTCAGATTTCGTTTATTTGTATGCCGCCCTTCTCCGGGAGGGACTCAGGGCGGCGAACAACTCAAAGGGGGAAAAAGGGGAACATAGAACACAATACACGTAATTAAAATAAATCACACAGCCACACAGGTCGAGAGGGGAGGGGAACTCATCAAAGGGAAGCCTTGGCGCTTGTTTTCTCTCAAGGTGGGGCTGGTTTCTGGCCTTCTCCCTTGGCAGCTCCTGCCCTGCCCCTCCCTGACCAAACACCCGGGGCCACCGAGAGAGGGATGCCAGGGTGAGCAATTGGCACCCTCCAGAGGGTCTCCTGGTCCTTTGTCTCTGCAGGGGGTGAACCTTCCTTGGGTCCAAAGAGGGACCTTCAGGACCACTTGGGTCCAAAGAGGGGGTCCCCCAATCGCACGACTGGGGTGCCAAGGCCAAACCTGCTTCCTTTGCCTCTTTGGAGGCAGAAGGTGCCCAAGCCAGCGTTCCCTCACCTGGCCGGGACGCCCCTCCCGCTCCCTGCCCACCCCACACTCCCCCCCCGCTGGCCCCGCCTCAGAGCAGGTGGCTCCCGGCCAGGGTGAGCAGAGAGCAAACAGCCTCCTCCCCTCCTCCTCCTCCTCCAAAGGACGCCCAGGGGAAAAGAGGGCATTCGGCGGCTGCTCTTCCTGGCGCACTCCCACCCGGCTCTCCTCTCTCCCACCATGTCGGGCCACCCCACCAACCTGAGGGTGAAGCTGCCCCTGCTCTGCGCTCTCCTGCAGCTGGCCACGGTTCTCCTGTTCGCCTTCTTCGTCCAGTACGACAGCCACACCAGCCCTCGGCTGTGGCACGAGGATGTGCAGTTGCACAGCAAAGGCCCCCTGGACCACGAATTCTACCCACGCTACCCAAGTGAGTATCTCCTGCTCTCCTGCCTGGGATGAGCCAGGACCCCAAACGCTCCCCACTTACACTCCAGAGCTTCAGTTTGGTTTCTGTAGGGGGGAGGAAGTGAAAGCTGTGGGAATCCTCTGGGGATCCCTTCTGATTCACAGGGGAAGGCAGCGCTTGTGATCAACTCTTCCCCTGCCCCAGGCAACTGGGGAAGCTACCATCGCCTCAAGATGCCTTCTGAATGGTATTTTTGAGTGCAGAACCTAGTTAAGTCCCGGCTTCATAGGGATGGGCTACTGGGGGTTCGCAGGGGTTCAGAAGAACCTCTAGCTAAGATTCTGTGCAGTTTGGAGAACCCCCCAAATCCCACCCACGGCTGGCCCCGCCCTGCCCCACCACCCCTCCCCTCCCAGGAGTTCCCACATGGCCCATTTTGGACGCAGGTAAGTGCAGGGCATGTGCAGAGGCTGGGGGGGGGCTGAAAAATGGGCCTCCCAGAGGTTCGGGAAGACCAGAGGGCCTCCAGAGGCCATTTTTGCCCTCCCAGAGGCTCAAGGAAAGCTTCCGGAACCCAGGGAGAGCAAAAAGGCCCCCCACCCCCCCGCCATGCCACGGCCACCCAGCAGGGAACCTGGCAGAGAACCCCTTGCTAAAGATGTTGACATCCAGCCCTGCTTCATGGAGGAAGCCTTTGGTTTCCTCCACATGACTGAAGTCCACACCACCTCAGTCCCACCTGGGGGTCCCCCCCCCTCCCTTGCTTAACTTTGGGGGGGGGGGCTGACTATCCAGCAAACCAGTTTGTGGATGTATTTATGCATTCTTAAAAGGACAGCT